TTATATGCCTCGTTTTTGGCCAATTTTCGTTTTTAGTTCAGTGCTGCGGTTAAATAATGCGCTTCCAAGAATATAAACACGCAGCAACAAAAAAAAAAACACACACACACAAAAACTCCAAAGCCAAAGAAACAATAAAAACTGTTGCACATTCCCATTGCGGGCTAGGAGGGCCTTGAATATGCATATAATGGTCATATCTATTCCATAATTCGTTATTTGTCATTGTTTGCCTCTTTATTTTGATTTTGATACGTCTGTTTCTCTTTATATATATACTTTTTAGTTTTTTTTTTCTTTTCGCTGACGGCTCAAATCAACATGTTGATTTCTAAGCAATTAATTTGATTAACTGGCGAGCTGTGGCTGCGGTTTGGTGCGCCTTTGATCTGGCCACAGTAGAGTTCGATGTCAGTACAAACATATATCATGAGCATTAAGCATTGGGCATTAACCATTGAGCATTAAGCATTATTAATTAAAAGTTCTTTACAGCTAATTGCAGAGTATGATATAAGCCAAGGCAGCTGTCGACGATGAGCTATTGATCGTTCAACGGAAATGCCTGACTCAGTGGCTCCTTTGAGCTGAACAGATTCACAAGATTGTGAATTTTATAAGCTTCTTATTATTTATGATATAATTCATGCCAAGACAGACAAACACAAAGGATAATCACTTTTGGGAAAACTTAAATAATTACAGGGTATCAAAAAAATCTAATAATTGCCCAGAATCATATGCTATAGGTCACGCATGCATAAGTTCCAATTCGTTCTATTTGCAAAGGGGTCAAAATAAAAAATAATAATTTGAAACTTTCGAAAAAACAGCAGCATGCGGCAAGTTCGTTGCCTAAGTCTTTTGATTGCAATGGGATAGAAAACTTAGTTCGTGGATTGCAAGTCATTTTTTTGACAACAAACACATTGCAACGATGTTATCAACAACAACAACAACGACAACAACAGCCACTCAGTATGACCACCTGCCAGGCACACCTATGTATATATTTTTTTGGGCGTATATGCGCCTGATTAGCTGTTACCAATATTTTTGTTAACGGTTTTCGCTGCACTAAAAATTAGTCGCAATTCACGAATATTTGCTCGAGTTTTATTTTTCGGTTTTTTGGTCTTTGGTTTTGTTTCTGTGTTTGTGGCACAGCACATTTGTTGCATTTGCCACACATTTGAATGTTTTTCGGAATTGAAAACTCTTTCGACTGAGAGCTGCAACTGTCGAGGCACAAGCGCAACGGCCAACGTTAATTAATTACGATTTATTGACCAAATTTGTTGATTAGACAATTGACGTTTGCCGTTGTTACGGCTGTTTCAATTGCCGTTGCGCCTGATTTTGATGTTGCCACACAATTTGGCCACTTGCCACACAATTGTCGTCCATTAATTGCGCGCTTTGATTTCGTTGATTCGATATACCGCCCTGCAGGTGGCATTCGTTATTTCGGCTCGATGTCAATACGTTCGCTGGCCAAATTTCATGGATGTCAAACAGCTTTATTTAGCTTTAAAGTTAAAGTAAAATATATATAGCAAAAAATACGATTAGAAAGCCTACAGTTTTAGTTTTTAAATAAAAAATGTATAAATGATACAGTAAAAACTCTCTATATACTCCACTCCAAACGAATGACTTAGGCAACGAACTTGATTATGCTACGCTTGTAGAAAATTGAATGTATAGAAAATGTGACTGACTGACAAGTGGCTAACAAAAAAATTTCCATAGATTACTGCTGTATTTGTGATGGTTGTGGTGGCTGTGGTGGCGGTGTTGGCGGTGGTGCTGGAGCTGTAGCTGATGCTGGTGCTGCTTGGTGGTGTGAAATTCCTAACTGGCACTCTCTTGTGGAACGAACGCCGCATCAATCAGCGGCGGCAGCTTAAATGCTGCATCATGACAAAACCATTACACTTGACCAGAGAGCGCGCTCCGGGTACGTTGATGGCGTCGGCAGATGCTCAGATGACTAGGCGACTCGGTTCAGCTCTCGACGTGATTGATTGATTGGCAGCGTGAGCAGCGGGCACTGGGCAAATGGGCAACACGGCAACGGCGGGCAGCGGCGGGCAGGGCGATTGCACTGATGTTTTGTCTAAAAGCCGTTTAGAATAACACCAATCGACCAAGAATAACACCAACAACAACAACAACTGCAGCAGCAACAGCATCAGCAGCTACATCCACATACTGCAACATAACGAGCCCAGCAGCGAGAAATTATGCATTGTGTTGGAAAAATGCTTAATCTGTGCAATGCCAATGCCAATGCTACATATCAAGGCACCCTCACCTGGCCATACACTCAGTCCGGCAGTCAGTCAGTCAGCCAGTCAGTCAGTCCGACAGTCAGCCGTTGGATGGCTCCAACTGCCAGCGGCCGTCAGTTGATTGCGCTTCATTATTAATGCCAAACTGTGCGCCGGCATTCGTTGAATTTGGCTTTTGCAATTTGCTCTCAATGCCGCCGCCGTCGCAGTCGCTCCAGACCCGCCTTGGCCTTCGGTTCGCTGCGGGGGCAGCGGAGACAGGCATTAAAAATGAGCTCGGCGTAACAGGTGGATGCCTCAGCCGCAGCCGCAGCCGCAGTCGCAGTCGCTGTTGTTGTTGCAGGCGCAGCCACGCCGATGATGGCGACGGCAACGTGATTTTCGCCAAATCGTTTAGATTATTTTGAGATTGCTTGCGCCAGTCGCTGCCAAAACAGTTGTCCGTCCAAGCCGTCCACACAGTCTGGCACTCCTTTCCACTCCCTTCCTCACTCACTCTCTCGGTTGGCCAGCTCCGCACCTTGCATTTGAACTTGAAACATTTCATTTTGCTGGCTAGCTGGCTGGCGGCATCCGAGAGAGCTCGTAGTCGGACCGATCGATTAGTGGCATTCTATTGCGTTCAATTTTCATGTGCAACATTGAAGCGATCGCCGTTGGCACAATAAACACGCGATTTATTTCATGCCGAGCATTCAAGTGCCGCAGTCGGTCAGCTAAAGGAGGAGCAGCACCACCACCATCACCACCATCACCACCAACACTAACAACAACAGCACCACCAGGCAGCCTTGCCTTAGCCTGGCTTGGCTTGGCTTGGCTCAGCTCGGCCCGGCTCGTCTTGTGGTATGTGATAATGGGATGATGGTATGATGATGCATGCGCGGCATACACAACATCCCAACAGAACAGCAACAAGTTGCGAAGACTGAAAAAGCAACTAATGCGAATTCCATATACTCTATTATATATTGGGGGAAAAAACGCACATTTTGTAGATCTGAAATCTGGATAGCATACATTAAATTCTATTATACAAAACCACAAATTAAAATACAATATTACATATATATAGTCAAATGCTATTTTTTTTTTTTTAATTACAGTTTAAAGTTTATTAAATATTAGATTTATTAGTAAAATAAAATGCAAATCACATTTAAATACATTTTTTTAGAAATACTTTCAGTTCGTCGCTCAAGAGTTTTTCTTTAAAGCATTTGCAGACTAAGTAAAATATATGATTTTATTATGAATATATATATGATTATAACTATTTTTTTGCTTACTTATAGATTTAGTAAGAGATAGTTTGCTAAACTAAAATATATCTAAAACATAAAAAGATTTTTGTATTGTTTTTAAACTAAATCCGTTTCAACTAAAGACCTTGTGCTACATTGGAACTTATAGAAACCCATAGAACTCTATGCTTATCGATATGCCTGGCAACTATCAAAGAGTATGAACAACAACAATAATAACAGCAACCTACTCTCTTACATATAGATATATATATTTGTATTTTATTCGCCTTTTTTTTCGTTTGTTGCTTTTTTCCTCACTAGCGGCCAAGGTTAGTCGCTTGCCTTAGTCGTTGTCGAAGCTTACTCTGCCGCATTTTAGTCGGTAATTGCTTGTGATGTATGATTTTGAGTTCTAGTTTTGTGGCCTGGTCCAGCCTGGGAATATCTCACAGACCGCCGCACGGACGGAGCTTTGTAGTCGTTTTGCTAGCTGATTGCTGACGATGCCTATATATGCGGGTGATGTATGTTATATAGCTACAGGTATAGGTAGAGGCCATAGATATTGATTTGACAGGGGGTATCGCATTGATGAGTGCGCTTTCGACCACTGTCACACTTTCTAAGCACTTTCACCCAATTAGGGCGATCACTCATATCGCATATAAATATACATATATTTCTCTATATATACTGTATGAGTGGAGACTATCAAGGAGCTGCTGATCTTATGCAAAAACGAAAGAGCAATGGAAAACAAAAAACCCGAGTCTCTGCTCTCGATGACAATCTTTTGTTTTCACTTCTGCAGAAACAAAAGCCATAAAGAATAAATTGTGAGTCGCAAGTCGAATAGTCGGCTCCAATTCGACTTGTGCCTGCGACTGCGACTGCGACTGCAACTCGGTTAGGTAGCCGCATTTAAAACAGTTGGCGGCAATCGTTGAACTTTTGGCTTCGACAAGTGCACAGCGGGGCGTCTTGGCCAGGAAACAAAAAGGAGGCGGCGCTGCTGGCAATTTTGTTTTCATTTCAGCTAAATGGAGTGGATGAGGCGGCTGCTGCTGCTCCTGCTGCTGATGCTGATGCTTATGCTGCTGCCTCTCAGCTGCTCTGGTGTGCTGCGATTATATCGAAAGACAAACGTTGGCCCATTGTTTGGCCAAGGCCCAATTGGGCCAAGTATTTAAGCTTCTATCGCATGATTGATTGACTGCATATACAACAGAACAAATACATTCATTTTACATACAATATTGAAAACAATTTCTCTCGATCTCCTCGAGTGACGTCTGTTGTTGCTGTTGTTGTTATTTGATTTGCTGTTGCTGTTGTTGTTGTTGTTGTTCTTATGTGCTATGCTTTTCATGCCATTTCGATACGGGCCTCATTTTTCTCGCCACAATTAAAGAAGAAAGTTGGCGGCGCAATTAGAAAACTCGCATCGATCAAACGGCCACAGACACAAACGTCATGGCTGCGTAGTGTTTACTATCAAATACTGTGTATAATTTTCAAGTCTTGTTCTCTTCTCGTCATCTCGTCAAAATTATTTTAACTTTATTACCAAGAACTATGTCCAAACGATCCCCCCGATCTGAATTACCTCGCGATGCGCATGTGATGCAGGCGCTGCGCCGCGAGCTCCATCGCAATTCGCGCCAGATAACGCAGACATTTTGGCAGGAATTCGAGCAGATACGCAATCGGCAGCGCAATCAGCTGATACAGGAGCGCAACGATCGCGAACGGCTTTCCCTGATGATGCGCGACGCGAATCTGGAGACACAGCAGCAGGCAGAGGCACTCAGTCGCAGCATCAGCTCCCATGGCGTTAATCCGATCGCGCCGTCGCCACGCATGCACCGGGATACACCTGCCATAATGCCCACGCCTGAGGAGATAACGAAGGAGCTTAAGAACTCGCCGGTGTTTAGGCGGCCAAAGGGCGTGGCCAATGCGACCAACGATTCGCCGATACGCCAGCTACCTTCAACCTCATCGAATTTGCCGCGAGCCCCACCCTCATCTAGGATGACCGTTATCCCGGACACACCCAACATGCGTACGCCAGCCAGATCGAGCCCGACCATTTCCAAGCTGCAGCTGGCCTCGAAACCCAAGAAGTGAACGCTCATTGAAACCTAGTTTTATTTTCAATTGAATCGCTATCAATAATTATTAAAGAAGAGCTCATTATCAATTGCATATTGATTCCTATATATTGATTATATAGTGTTAATTGTTGATACACAAGCCAATCAAATTTTATGTAAAAACATGTCAAGAAATATTAATTATAAACGAGCCATGCGACATTGAATGTTAAGTTGTTTGAAATAGCAATAAATATATTTATATTTCAGGCACAGTTATTGTATAAAGTACTTTTTTACTGCAGAATAATGCATAGATATGTATTTGAGCTTACTAAGCGAAGCTTAGATTCAGTTTAATATGAAGTACTTTTTCAGGGAGCTAAACATTTGACACTTGAAAGAGCTCAAGCTCAAGAATTCTCTTTTTTCACCTTAGTCATTAATCAATTTTTAATTCATATCTGTAAACTATTCATCTCATATATGTATGTTTTTACACCAAATCATGTCTAATCACAACTTTAAGATTTCATCACTGCTAAACTCAAGTCGAACTGACCCCAAAAACCGAATGCTAGCGCATTAGCAAGCAAATTGAAAAAAAAAAAAAAAATAAATAAAGAAACAACAAAAATAATAATAACAGCTTGCAAATTAATTAACGGTACACGGCCCTCATATATAAATAAAGACAAAGCAAGTGTAAGAGAGAGACAGATAGACAGCGAGCGGGAGCGGGAGAGACGGTGCCACACGCACCTGAGTAATCAACTTGATGTGGGCATGGCCAAGCGAATGTTACATTACGTTAAATGATTCTGATGCTCGATTCCGCTGGTACAGCACAAATACGATAAATCACGCTGAATAACAACAACAACAACGGCAACAGCAACAACAAAAACAAACGAAATCAACAAAATGTAACGTTATTCATCACAGGTGGTAAATTTAACTGACAACAAACGCGCGCCGATCCCCCAGCGCAGATTCGCGTACTTTGTCTCCGATACCGATACCGATACCTAATACACACACACAGAAATCGAACAACGGCAATTTCTGGGTCAAAATAATTAATAAAACCGAACGACTTTTCTGCGCATGACTTGGCCAAAATCAAGCCTTCTTTGCCTTCTGCCTGCCGCTGGCCGCCTGCTGCCTTGGTGGCCACGGAGTCAGACACCAATTTTGACAAGCTCAGCGCGAGGAAGCGTCGTGGCAGGAGGCGCAGGCCTTCCAGCTTTCAGCTCACAACTGGACAGTCGCAGTTTTGTCGTCGCTTTGGCGCATGCGCAAACAAAGCAGCACAAAGCCAAAAAAAAGTGGAAATAATCAATCAAAATGTCTTAAGCAAATCACTCGCATTTCAACTACCCCAAAAAAAAAAGAGTAAGAAAAATTACAGAGCAGAGCACTAACTGATTAACTGAAATGGTCGACAAGTGCGTTCATACGCTGTGAAGTTTATGAAGTG